AATCCTTGTTGGCATCATACCCCATCTGTCCACAGCTGCCCAAAGGCAGGATCTAGGAAGCTGGTGATCATCAAGTGCAAGGTTTTGTTGCTGATGAGAACATAGAGAACCTAGATATCATTACCAGGCAGTGTGTATCCACCTGAGAGGTCTAATTCACTTCACCCAAACCAAGTCTAGACTTGTCCATAGAAGTAGATGCATTCAAGTGATCCTCAAGCATATGTAGTCATAAGAATATGCCCTTATCCACATCTGAAGCATGTGCCTAAATATGCATCCTCCTTGAAACTGTGAAATGCTAGCATTAAGAGCTAGAAGCTTATAAGAATATTCCTAATTTTCTGGGTGAGTGGTCTCCAACTATTAAAGATTTGCATGCTTATCTGTATATTTATTTATAAATACATGTACGATTATACTCAAATGCATTATAAATATAGAAAAAGTTTTTATAAAGACAAGATAAAGATATAATAATCCATGTTTTAAAAATAGGTATTTTATGTGTTAATGGATCACGTAACATTTTGTTTTTGTTTTTCTTTTTTTGAAACAGAGTCTTGCTCTGTCACCCAGGCTAGAGTGCAGTGGCACAATCTCAGCTCACTGCAACCTCTACCTCCTGGTTCAAGCAATTCTCCTGCCTCAGCTCCCCAAGTAGTTGGGATTACACGTGCCCACCACTATGCCCAGGTGATTTTGGTATTTTTGGTAGAGATGAGCTTTCCCTGTGCCGGCCAGTCTGTTCTCAAACTCCCAAACTCAAATGACCCACCTGCCATGGCCTCCCAAAAGGCCGGGATTACAGGTATGACCCACCATGATGGCTGATCATGTGACATCTTGTTCTGGTTTTAGTTTAACCTAAATCAATATTAGACTTCAGTGGTAAGCATGAATAAATGAGATGCCTCCCAAGAACATACAGAAAAAGGAAAAGAATATCCTAGGCTTGCTGAACAGGTGATGATTTTTATCCTCATTTTTCAAGATTTTTACAACTTGACAGGGGTCCATCCCTGTTTTGGATGTGTTAGTTTGAAATATTTTGTTAATGGTGATGATTTTGTGTAAGACTATGTCAATATCTCAAGGTCCAATATACAGTTAGGATAAGGTACATCATAAGTATTTACACTTACAAGTCTATATATCAAATAGTTTTTAAAATACAACTAAATCACTACGTACTTACTGTTAGGTAGATTAGCTTATCAACTTTAATTCTCACTTTGTGTGTCGATAGGCTTTTGTAAGAAGTAGGATAAATGTGGTTGGTTCTGGCATTTCCTGGTATTTGGTATGTTTCCATATTATATTATCTTCAATTCATGATTCATCATAGTATTAGATGTTTTTCTGTTTGTATTTTCCTAACTCTTCATAACCAACCATATGAGGGTTAGTATAGTTAACACGAGAAATCAATTTAGAGTTGTATGTAACTGGCCAGTTGCATACTGCAGTATTTCACAATGTGAGGGTGATGTCAGTCTGTGCTACAGACTCCTAAGTTACTCAGTGTGATTCTACCATACAGAAAAAGCAAGGTCCTCCAGGTTAATCTGGATTCTAATTATTAGTGAAGCTTAATTTCTTTTTTTTCTTATTCACCAAAGTAATTGTAAATAGACATTCTAATACTTTCTTTCCACATCCTGATGGCTGTCTGGTGCACCCTGGGGAGAATGCAGCCCACTTTGCAGCTTAAATAATGTAAAATAATACATGATTTTGAATGAGAGATGCTTAGCCTCAGCCCCTCACTCAGCTGTGTTAAAGCTACGTACTGTCCTACTTCCTTAATCCCAAGTTATCTGGCTAGTGTTTGAAGAAAATACTGCTTAGTTCTATGGTTGGTTATAAGGAGTCAGGAAAAGCCAAATAAGAAAAATGTCTAACACTGTGATGGAAACCTGACACTATCAAAATTGCTTGTTTTTCTTGTAAATGTGAACCTGAAAAGCAGAGTGGAGTGGTGCCAAAGGAGCTCCCAGAAGCAATAGCACACCCTGGACTCGGGAGTACTGGCTTCAAGCCCAGGGCTCCTATCAATATACAGTGTGGCATCTGATCAAATGAGAGGTAAACCAATGGCAACAGGACTTCCAGAGGATGCACAGAGCTTTTCCTCATTAAGGCTCAGCCTCTGTGAATGCTGCCCAGAACCCCTCTTCACATGCTTCCTTCTCTGAAACAGAACCATTTCCCATTCTTCTCACTGCCTGGGGTTCAGGTCACCCACCAAAACCATTCAGCCTCACTGACTTTCATCCTTAAGTTAAGTGGGGGCCATCACACACAAGAGGAGCTTGAAGCATTAAATTCAGGGTTATCTTTTCACAACTGGAGTCTAATGTTGGAGGTAGATTATTAAACTGTGCATGGATTCTTAGTCTTCTATCAAGAGATAGTATCTATTTCTTCATTTTGAACCTGGACTGGCCTTGTGACTCACTTTAGTCAGTGGAATGTATTGAAAAACAACTTTATGCAAATTCTAAGACTGGACAACAGGAGATTTTGTGTGTTTCCCCTCTTAATAGCCCAGGACCCTAGCCTGGTGGAGGATAAGAGGCCACAAGGAGAACCACACAGTTCAGCTGGGAGCCCCAGACCTGTGAGTGAGCCCAGTGAGATCATCCAAGTCATGTCTAACTCAGTAGAACCGCCCAGCTGAGCCCAGTCCAAACTGCTTACTCATGAGCTAAACTAAGTCATTGTTTTCAAGCCATTAAGTTTTCGAAAAGTTTGTTACGCAACAAAAGCAAACAGATAGATACTCCTTGTTTTGTATTCTATTTTGCTCTGTTAATTGGACACATAAAAAATTCAGTTTCTATTAACTATTTTTTGTTACATCCAGTATTTTATTACAGTTTACAAAATGATGATTTCTAATTATGTCATTTCCCTTTTCATTTGTTAGCTAAGATTCTGATTCAAGAAAAAAAATATGAACAATTTAGCTCAAAATAGAGATAATACATCTTTGTGTTTGAGGCAAGGTACAATCTTTTTTTTTAATTACATTTTAGGTTTTGGGGTACATGTGCAGAACATGCAAGATAGTTGCATAGGTACACACATGGCAGTGTGATTTGCTGCCTTCCTCTTCTTCTCCCACATCTGGCATTTCTCCCCATGCTACCCCTCCCCAGCCCCCCCACCCTGATGTCCCTCCCCTATTCCCCCCAATAGACCCCAGTGTGTAGTGCTCCCCTCCCTGTGTCCATGTGTTCTCATTGTTCCTCACCCGTCTATGAGTGAGAACATATGGTATTTCATTTTCTGTTCTTGTGTCCATTTGCTGAGAATGATGTTCTGCAGATTCATCCATGTCCCTACAAAGGACATGAACTCATCCTTTTTGATTGCTGCATAATATTCCGTGGTGTATATGTGCCACATTTTCCCAGTCCAGTCTATCATCGATGGGCATTTGGGTTGGTTCCAGGTCTTTGCTATTGTAAACAGTGCTGCAATGAACATTCATGTGCATGTGTCCTTATAGTAGAACGATTTATAGTCCTTTGGATATATACCCAGTAATGGGATTGCTGGATCAAATGAAATTTCTATTTCTAAGGCCTTGAGGAATCGCCACACTGTCTTCCACAATGGTTGAACTAATTTACACTCCCACCAGCAGTGCAAACGTGTTCCTATTTCTCCACATCCTCTCCAGCATCTGTTGTCCCCAGATTTTTTAATGATTGCCATTCTAACTGGTGTGAGATGGTATCTCAATGTAGTTTTGATTTGCATTTCTTTAATGACCAGTGATGATGAGCATTTTTTCATATGTTTGTTGTCCTCATGTATGTCTTCTTTTGTAAAGTGTCTGTTCATATCCTTTGCAGATTTTTGAATGGGCTTGTTTGCTTTTTTCTTGTAAATCTGTTTTAGTTCTTTGTAAATTCTGGATATCAGCCCTTTGTCAGATGGGTAAACTGCAAAAATTTCCCATTCTGTTGGTTGCCGATTCACTCTAATGACTGTTTCTTTTGCCATATAGAAGCTGTGGAGTTTCATGAGGTCCCATTTGTCTATTTTGGCTTTTGTTGCCAATACTTTTGGTGTTTTGGTCATGAAGTCCTTGCCTACTCCTATGTCCTGAATGGTTTTGCCTAGATTTCTTCTAGGGTTTTTATGATGCCAGGTCTTATGTTTAAGTCTTTAATCCATCTGGAGTTAATTTTAGTGTAAAGTGTCAGGAAGGGGTCCAGTTTCTGCTATCTGCACATGGCTAGCCAGTTTTCCCAACACCATTTATTAAACAGGGAATCCTTTCCCCATTGCTTGTTTTTGAACTTTGTTTTTTTGTGCATCAGTAACATAGTAGCAACCATCAGGAGGATATGTAGTTCATGTCTGTGTTTGGTTTCTTATACAACCATTTCACAACTTGATTATTTACAATGAGCCTTGGAGGTAAGACTACCGTGAGGATTTATTGCTATCACATGCACATGAAATAACCAATTTAGACTACATCATCTAAAAGATGAAAACAGTTATATTTCAATTATATAAATTGATGTTTATAAATACCAACGTTCTCAGTTTTTAAAAGATCTAGGCACAAGTGTTACAATATGTGATTTTGAAGTAGTGGCCTGCATCAGTATTGAACATACTGACTCCTTTTTACCACAGATACACAGGCAAGCTTCATTTTCCATCAATTTATTTCCCTTTAAAATTGACATATTTAATGGATAGAGCCACTGAGAAGAAAGAAGGTAGAAGGGAGTGCAGAAGGGAGGAGATAAATTTGTACTTTCTAGTCGCTGTCAATATGTGATTTATTTTCAGATGCATTAAAGCTTTGAATTTTTGACTTGGAAAGAAACACAAGGAAAATCTTTTTCTCATTAGTCCCAAATTTCCTATAATCTGATATCCCACCTCCACCTTCTTCCACAGAAAGAAACAAACATACATACACACACACACACACACACACACAAATACAAATTGTAAAGCACACTTACCCTCTCTGAAAGAGATCCACATTATAAAATTTATGTAGCTCTACCGAAAACTCAACCGTTCCTTGTACTTCAGACATGATCTTTTTGGCTCATTACCTGAAAAACAAGAGAGAAATTAACAGCTTGAGATCACATCAGCCAGACAGAGAACCTGGCTTTTATAACAGGAAATGAATCTGACCAACAGGATCAACAGGAGTAGCATGTGTCCACTGAATGTCCCCACTCAGGGTTCCTTGTATGGAAGGAGACATGGAGAGACAAAATGACTTGCCTATTGTCACATAGCTCCTACCTGGAAGGGCCAGGAGGGAGACCCAGGTATCCTGCTGGGTCTCAACTCCAAAGCTGAGCTGGTCCCATGCCCTCTCTTATCTCTCAGTACTGTGGTGACAATGACTTTCTGGCCGAGAGCCCATCTTTCATGGCCCAAGGCACAAGAAAGCCTGCTTACTGCTTTCTAGCTGTGTGACCTTACTCAAGTCACTTAACCTCTCCCATCTTCAGTGTTCTCCTCTAATATGAGGACTGGTAATAATGCATGACTTTGATATATGGTGGGCAGAGAAAGTAAATATACCACATTGAGCACTTTGCATGGTCATTTGTGTCTTAAATACTCGGTAAGTGGTAGCTACCACTGACAATAATAATTTTTAATGATTTTATCATTGGTATTATAAATGCAGTCTCTAAAGACTGCGGCAGGAATGGCATCAAGCATGGCACACAGAGCGTTCGGGTGCTGCTGCTAGGTAGATGTCGAAGCCAACTTGATAGATTGTTAATTTTCCAATTACTTGTTACTGGGGCTCAGTAACAAGAGGGTTGAATGGAAAAGATGGGAGGAAAAAAACATTAAAGCAGTCCCAGTCTGGGATGAGAAAAAAGCCAAGAGGTACATTTGAAGTAGGCTGGGTTTTCTGAGACTATGAAAGGATCTAGATACCAGGAATGTGATGGAAGGGAAAGAAACTTAGAGTAAGTATATTGAACACCTACTATACTCTTGGTGTTGCAAAAAGTATTCCATGTAAGTTGCCTGATTTTTTTCCAACAAGAATTTTGCATTATTCTTGCCCCATTTTGCATGCAAGAAAAGAGGACCAGAGAAATGCTGACCACTTCCTAACTCTGGAATGTTCTGGTGATATCGCCTTTGGTAAGACCCCCCCTTTCTCCAAGCCTGTTGACTACCACGTATAACAGGGACAATGAAAGGTACTAAGTAGACTCCCAATAGGATAATAGGTAACAACTTGCAAAATTCCTGGCACCTAGCAGGATCTCAAGAACTGGCAGGACCTCCGGGAAGGGAAAGAATGAGAGAGAAGGAGAAGAGGGGAAAGTAAGGGAACACTTGGTCCTGTCACCTAAGAACTGGTGATTCACACTTGAGTCTCCTTCCAAAGCCCCTCTTTCTGCCCCCAGATGCCTCAGGGACCAGACTGTTCTTGTGGCTCAGAGCCCAACCTCACTGCAGTTAACAGGGTCGGGCTAGGCCAGATCCCCCAGATTAGAGCAGGAGGGATTAACTGGCCCTTAACTGCATCTTGGCTCATGCGAGGGTTTTCATCTGGGGAACATTCTAGAGATGCAGGAGGCTGCATACCAAATTAAAATCCTCAGAACCAACCTCTATAAATTCTGCCAGACAGAATTTCAATCTGGCAAACCTGAAAAGGCCTGGCTCACAAAACGTGCCAAAAACCCATTTCTGTAATGAAGAGCCATCGAGGTGTGCCCGGCCCCTACCCAACACACTGGAGCCAGTCAAGGTCAGAGCCTGAGGCTCAGTTTTAATCCCAAGTCACTTCCAGTCCAAGCCGGATAAAGGGGCCAGCAAATGGAAGCCACTCTGGGTTTCCCTTCATAACCACATGACATGTCAACAGTTACATCGTCCTCATTTTTTCATCACCCCACTCAGTCTGAATCCTCCAAAAACTCAGAGCTGGCAAAACCATCTGACTCTTTTCTTGGGGTTGTGAGCTTTCCATTATCCTTGGTGCCTTTCCTGATCTCTGATCGTGGGGAGGAAAGTATATAGAAAGAGGGAAAAAGGGAGAACAGGAACAATGCACCCCAGTGCCAGCCTACCATATACCACACACTGAAGGGGGTTCCAGGCATGACATCACACCATCCTCAAAAGCCCTCCACATGGGTAGTATTGGCCCCAAGCCACATAGGACAGTGGTGCTGTTGAGGCAAAGAGTGCCCACCCAGGAGCCTGGGTTTTCCAGGTTCTGCACTTACTAGTAGACTGACCAGTACCATGTTTTGGGCTAGAGTTACTATTTAGAATAAAATATTTAATGCATGGAGAATACCAAACAGAATATTATTTTCTTCATGAAAAATGCACCGTACCATGCTGTTGTTCAGGACGAATGGGATAGAGTTCTGGAACTTGTAAGCACAGACACAGCTTCTTGGTGGGAAGCTGCCTTTTCCTTTAAAACAGCATGTGATGCATTATAACCAAACACCCATAATGCAGTGAGGAAGATGAGTTTTCATGTAAAATGTCGATTGTAAAAGTCCGTGTTGATTTTGCTAGTAACATCCTTGACCACTTTGTGATCAGTGATCCAGAGCCATTTGCCCTGGTCCCAACCTTCTCCCCTGCTCTTGCCATCTGTGGATTAGAGGGAAGGTATCAGAGTGGCAGTTTGCAGGTGTGGCCCTCAGACCCATGGCATCAGCAATGCTTTGTTATAAAAACAAAGTCGAGTCCCACACCAGACCTACTCAGTCAGAAACTCCAGGGAAGAGGTTCAGGGATCTGTGTTTTCACAAGTTCTCCAGGGAATTCAGATGCAAACACTAATTTGAGAACCGCTGGCCTAAAGACAAGGGTTTTAGCATTAACCAGAGCTGAGTTAACTTGGTTTCTTGTGAGCTGCAAGACCTGGGCCCACAGCTTAAACTCTCTGTTCCTTATTGCTAAGAGGTGAGGAGCAAGAGTACCTACCCTATAAAAATGTCTTCATGATCAGTAGAGAGACAGCATGTAAAGTGTTTAATACAGTGTCTGGCACACTGTTGGAACATACAACATATGCACACAATAGACATATGACACATACCCAACACGCACATCACACTTATACACACAAACACACAGATACATACAACATGCATTGATAATAGAACATTGACACACACACACAAGATGCCCATGACATATACCCAGAACACCCTGGGTGCTGAAAGGACTGTCCAGGAAAGCCTGCTCTCTGCTTCTGTGGGACTGAGTTCAGGTGCACGGTTCCGAGAGTGCATCGTGATGAGGGCAGTGAGAGGTACCAACAAGCATCAGGCTCAGGAGGAGGCCAGGACATGATTCAGATCTCCGTCCCCAGCACATCAGCAACCACACCTTGGGTAGATCAGTGTTCCTTGGTATTTTTTCCAAGAACCTCCCACAAAACATCAGAAAACCCAGCACTCACCCCCAACATGAACATGTACCACACACACAACCAACATACCCAACCCGAAATACACAGGCATCATGTGCACACACACCACAGACATCTTCTCTGCACTAACTTCCTCCTACAACCAGTGCCCACCACCATTCTAGTGAACTCAGTCATTCTGCTGCATTTGGTGTGACTCTGAAATGCTCACCTTCAAACTTGCACTTCCTGAAAACTGTGTCCAGGTACTGTGGCACTCTAAAGCATACAGAGCTTATGAGCGGACCTCATGATGCTCAGGGACTGGGAAAGGGTGATCCTGTGACAATCACGGTGACAGTGATGACAGCTCAGGAAGAGGGGGGACCTGGGTCTTTGGCACTCAGGTACAGCCTATCTGGGAAGGCTGGTTCTGAATGAGGAGGCATTTGCTATGCCTCAGTCCAGGGTCATCAGTGCAGATCTCTTCTGTTCAGAAAGTGAAGAGAGTGACCTCAGCAGGTCATTCCAACCTCAGCTTACCTGAATCGACACACCTGCCCTTGGTACTGCCCTTCGTTGTGTAACTTCCCTGGGCCCCTGATCACTGCCTGGTCCTCACTAAGGCAGCAGCACACACAGCTTACACCTATATGCAGATGGCTTGCCCTGGTGCACCACATTTTAGGCAAGCATACCTAAAGAAAAGGACAGAGGGAGGGGAAGGATGAGAGGGCCCCTGAAGCCTATGTCTAGAGATTAACAGACATCATCAGAATAGGCTTCCTTGAGGACAGTGGAGAGAACAGTCTGTCTCGAAAGTAATATACACACAGGCCCCAGAACCAGACGCCGTAGTCTCAATGGCCCTGGGTGACCTTGGAGTTATTATGACCTTCCTGGGTCTCATTTTCCTCATTTGTAAAGTGAGGATAATAATAATACCTACTTCCTGGAGTATTGCAATAATTAAAACTGTTAACATACATAAGCCACTCAGAATAGAGCCTGGCATGTAATAAACCCTCAAAACATGCAGGCTATTTTTAGCTTTGTAACAGAAGACAGAACTAGGAGGCAAGGTAAAAGAAATCCCGTGAAATTACAGCCCTGTTTGGTTTTCATTCATTAAAAAAAATACCTTGATTGAGTGCCCCTTACTGACCTGCCTTCTTCTGGGAGAGTTCTAGCCATCGCAGCTGCCCGACAATAGAGCAGTCCTCATTATGAAGAAAGGAACTCCCCCATTACTGTGAGTGTGCAGACAAAGGATGAGTCCCACTTTTCTGGGATGACGGGCCCCTGCCTTGAGTTTAAATGACAATTAAATTCCCCTTTGTACACAAGTTTCTAAGATCTCATTACCCTCAGGCAGGCAATGCTTGTATTTGATTGACGAGGAACAAAGAGGAAGAGGGTAGACTAGAGGACCGGAAGGCAATGTCACAGAACTGGGGTTTAGATTTGACTTCTGCCACTTCATAGGTTGACTAGGACATCACTTCATCTATTTGAGTCTAGGCTTCTGCATCTGTACCTGCAAGGAAACACCTACCTCAGAGAATAATACAGAATGGTAACTAAACCAATTTTTGTAAAGTATCAAAAATATTCTCATTGCCAATAGGATACTGTTGAAGTACAAAAAATATTTTGGAAACATAGCATGTTACTTTTCTTCCTTGAAGA